TGAAGATCTTAACGTCAACCAAGACCATGAAAGTGAGGCAAACTTTGACTATTCTGAAATTAGCATGGAGATCTACAGCATTCAACACAAAGAAAAAGATCCGAAACCTCAACACTGATGTTAAATCAGTGCTTCTACTGACTTTAAAGACTTGGCACGCGTGTCACTAAAAGCATTTCCAATAAGCTACTGTAGACTTTGATCAACAGCTGCCTTCTTTCCAGTATTAAAAGTTAGGTAGACGGGGTAGAAAGGATAAACGATAAGGAACTCTGGAGACAAACAAACCAAAAATCCATCACTAAATAAATATACAAAATATTTAAGTGTTGGTTTGTAGGGATTTGATTGGTTACACGAAATCATCATGGGTTGACACTGGTTAGAGAACCATTGGAAAACCTGGAAGTACTGGACGGCCGTTTCGTCCTAGTTTGGGACTCTTCAGTAGTATGCACCCACCGGGGTTCATCCTAGGACCTTCTTGTTACAAGGCGGACCCAATCCAATGGCCTATTAAATTCTAAATTCTGCCAATTCATGACATAGCGCGACCCGTAGCCAATCTCTTCGGCAAGTATTTGTCCTCACACCCGACCTGCTGCGCCCTACTGGCCAAGGCTTCTCACTAGAACCCCAGGTAACTACCTACCTGAATAGGTCAAGTTGCTAGTGAGCATCTCATCCATATACATACATCGAGACATACATCGAAATAGACAAAAGAAAACACAGATGGATTGTAAATACGTCGAGAAGACCAAAAGAGTGACATCACACGTCAAGCAGGCCACCACTTGAGTGGAACTCAAATTGTAAGTGATGATTTCCACATAGGTACACAGGCGACATGGAGGCGATCGTGTAATGAGATGATGAAATTTTATGAGCAATCATATAGCTAGCTAGCTAAAGGAGGATACAGAGTACAGGATGAAATGGAGATGTACTGTTGACGCCCTATGTTCCACTCGGAGACCATGTGTATTAATTACAACATATATTTGACTATATAACAAATCATATAGATATTTAATTGGTGGGTGGTGACTAGCAGTGGAATCCAGGATGCTCATTTCGTCCTATTTAGGACTCGTCATCTGAATGTACCTGCATGTCTCAGTGAGTGATGATGTTCCCACCGAGGCTCCAACCCAGTACCCATAGTTTCAAACGCCAAAGCGTTATCCACTAGACCACTTGGATCACGAGAGCCACCTGAGACCGAGCACTTCGGTCCAATCAATCGACGGGAAAATCAATACATTTAATTACACAATCATATAGATAGTTCAGAGAGTTCCGACTACTCAGTATTAGTTCCTTCAGTAAATAAGAACAAGCTACACATTTGAAATTTTGCATCAACTATAGCCAAGTAATTACGCCAAAATCGTCTTTTAGAGTACTTAACTTGAATTATCCGGGAAACATTATCAATTTATCCATAACTGACTGAATTCCTGCGCATATACTCATTTGCCAACTCACACACGCACATAAATGCCTAAGAAACACTCAAAATAATTGGTATCATTTACACACAGAAATGAAAAGAATGCATTTTTCTTCATTTCAAGTAATTCTCTCCCCAACGCCATTTCATTTTTCCCTAAACACTTCACTTCATTCACTCAACTGGAAAAGCTAAGTTAGGCATTCCTTTACCTTTTTTTCTAGAAAACCGCGAAGACATCCTTGTATATATGTATTTGTATATATATATATATATATATATATGTACCGTCAGACTGTATGTTTCCAAACTATAGTTTTCTTCAAAATTTCCTGTAGAAAATCCTGTTTAAATAAGTAAGTGATGATATGGTGATCCTGAATGGAGAAAGAAAAAAGAAAATTGAGGTTAAACAAAGCGAAGACAGAGAAAAGAAATGACAAGGACAGAAAATTAGTACAAGATATATATATATATATATATATATATATATATTTGAACAAAGCAAGAACTACAGTTTTAGCAGAATAAAATGGTACCATCTTTTATTTCGTTGCCTTCTCGTCAGCTGCTTACATGGCAAAGACACTATTAAATATATCTACAACAACAATTTTAACATACTTGCACAGAGTTCAGTTTAAACAAAAATCAATCGATCAATATACTCATACACTAAAAATATATACATATATAAATATGCAATATTAACCACTATTCCGAACAACAATAATAATCAAACACAATGGAAACTTTTAGCATTTCACATTCGGAGGAAAGAGAGGTGAAATTATCTAGTTACCAGGTTGGCAAAGAGAGACTGATGACCGCTTCTTTCTGGACGCATAAATCAGGTTTCAGGCGCTTGATGGAAATGGCTTCAGCAAACTTAAGGAGAATTGAGCTATTTTGCTTATTGATAATTTTGAACGAATTTTCGACGTCCACCTCATGACCCGTGTCAAGGAGATGCCTGGTGATGGCACTGTTTAAAGCATTTGTTCCCTTTAGACGTAAGCTTTCTGGTACATGTTCAGAAAATCGTAGATATGCCCTTCTTTCTGTCCTTCCAATGTAACTGCTCCCGCAGATACATGTAAATTTGTATACACAGTTGGAGGTAACATGAGAAAGATATCTATCGATTTTTGATTGCACCAAAGAGCAAGTTGTTCGATAGATGGGAACGAGCTTAGCTGCAGGATACGCTATGGCTAGTGATGTACTCAGCCTTCTGTTGATCATAGCTGCAATATTTTCACCTTTATAATGAAGTTGAAGGTAGACTGGCTTTTTTCCCACTGTGATTTGTTTTACATTCGTGACTTCAGATCTTCCATACTTGTTGATGAACCTTTGAGGGTACCCATCGCTCTTCAATGTCTTTTCAGGAAACTCAAACTCCTCCTCTAGTTTCTCTTAAGAGAAACTAGGCGTCGAGTGCTAGGTGTACAGGGGAAATCAATCGACGAAGTTGTGAAGTTACAAAGACTGAGATGGTTAGGACATGTGTTACGTATGCCCAGTCATCGCCTTCCTCGACGGGCAGTGTTAGCTGACATGGGGTCAGGCTTGAAAAGAGCTAGCAGAAGTCAAACCAGAACATGGCATCAGTCAATGAAATTCACAACAATTAGTTTAAGCCACGTAGTAAGATGTAGACTTCCTGGTTGGGATCCTCGGGACGGTAAAAACCAATGAATGGAAAAAATTAATGATATGGCTCAAAATCGTTCTCAATAGCTGGCGAAGATGCATCCACCCCTTGTGACTTATGATTTCCAAAAAAAACAATATTGTTCTTCGTTATTACCATTCCTTTGTCTCACACCTCTGTTTGCTGTCTCTATTATGGATTTCTTCTACTTTCTTCTCTTGCTTCGTGTGCTACATGAAGGGAGTGTGGTGACTTGAACTGCCGCACATACGTGAAAAGTTCTATGTCGAGAATAGACAGACAGACAGACTATCTCTCTTTCCCTCCTCACACAATCTCCACCAACATCTCTGTAGACGTCTCAAAATGAGATTTTTAAAATATGGGGAAGAATGTTAATTTTTGTTTTCACTTTATCTGGTTCATATTTCTTCTGCTGTGTAGATTTCCTTCTATGTATCTGTGTTTGTAGGCTGCCTGCATGCATTTGTGTGTGTCAGGGTGTTTGCCTGAGTCTTATTCAAGATGTAATGTCTAATCAAAAGTGGGATTATTCCCGATATTTATCAAAATTTTATTATTTCCCGACATTATTAATCTACAATATTTATTTATTGAGGAAATAGCCTAACTACCTACTGGTTTTACTCACTTAACTATGTATTAAATTATTGTCAGTCTTTATTAATATAAGCATACCACTCTAACCGATGATCACGTTTCACAATTCATTCGTGGAAGACATCAAAGAAAAAAGTCAGACTTTTAAGGTAATAATCCCACTGCCATATAATAAAGCGTCGTCTTATCGGCTTTATTTGACATTAGCTTAGAGATTAGTTCTTCTTCTTCCTGTGTTGAGTGATGTACAAACATACACGGAATGAGTATTATATGATACATAAAGAGATGTCTGGTTAATTATCTGTCTGTATCACTCAAGTATTCTGCCACAGATTAAATACTCGAGCCTTTTAAATATGTATGTATGAGAACACCCACGCTAACCTAAGCATCTGCTTTGCTTGTATCTATCTATCTATCTACCTAAATCTTTATTGGACAACAATACAGAATGGGAATTACAGACCATCAGCCTCATTTAGTTAGCTTAACTAATGCTACCAACTACTAGTAATTTTTAGTCTAGTTAAGATCTATATTTCCTTTCAAGGTCATCATGGTCATATATTAGCCAATCATAAATCTACGGGGGTTATTCTCACAATCACATAAAGCGAATATTACAATTAGCATACTCTACTCCGACTACTTATATTACTATTTTGATTAATTCTTCTCTATTTCTAAATTCACTGAAATAATTTACAGTAATTACATGAAAAGTTAAGGGATTTTAATGTCTATTCTCAAATTTACTCCTAAATATGTAACAAAATACGTTATCTGATATGATAACCCTACAGGATCAAAGGAGTATTAGTGGATCTTTCTCTTCTATAAAGATGTTTACAAACAGAATGAATGAATATTTATATACGGTGGATAATACTAATAGCTACTAATAATAGTAGTATATATATTTCAGTAATTTATTCCATGTATACATTTCTTTTTTCATATAATTTGAAAAAGAAAAGGGAATTATTGTATTTTAAAGCAGAAATGAAATCTTCAAAGTTATTCTTATTTGTATAATCTTTAACACTGCTGCTCATACGTCAAATGCTGTTAAGATGAAAGTTAAATTATCAACTTTTTGTTCAATGATCAATGAATTAACTTTATGCTGATAATGTAACAATAATAAGTCATTTAGTGTAAAAAAATTAAAACAGAAAGTTAATCTTCCAAAAGAAACTAAAAAGTACTTAAAACTTCAATCATCCTAATTATATTACTTATTAATCATTATTATTTATAGTAATGGAGACAGAAAGTGATATGAAGTCGTTTCATCGAATGCCAAGTGAACGAAGACGTAAATTATGGTCATTAGCAGCTAGAGCAGCTGTTAAGTGTCCAGATGATGTTGAAAAAGAAGTTATTATTCATCAAGAAGGTTCAGTAACTAAAGGTTCTGGTTCATTAGCTAAAACACAAGATTCTGGCGTATCAGTTGACTTTACATCGGATAATCAACCTTATTCAACAACATGTTCTCCGTATACATCACATTCACATTGTCGTATAAGTTTAGATACTGAATGCAGTGGAAATTATGAATATGGTAGGCTAGCAAAAACTTCAAAACAACCTTATGAAAATCAACCTGGTGTTACACTAAGTGCTGATCTTAGTGATTCTGCATATAATGAACGTGGAAGAAGTTATGTGAGTAAAAGAAAATCCGTCTTTTCAATACCACATATACCATCACATTTATCATCAATTAGTACAAATATCAGACGTATAAGAACTGCATCAAAACAATTTGATACATCAATAAAACAAGGGAGTGCAGATACTTCAGGTTTAGGAAGTAGTTTAGATTGGGTATCATTAGAAGCTGGACAAATACCATTTCATCGAAAAATGTCAACACAATATTTTAGTAATCCTAGAGATACTGTCACTGTTCATTGTAGTTTAGATGAAAAGCAAATATCTCATCCACTTATGAGGAAAAAACATTTAACCAGTGATGATGTTGACAGTGAACATCAACGTCAGCAATATCAAGAGTCATCAATGAAAACATTTTCAACTTTTGGAAATCCACGTGAATTTGACAAAGGCAAAGTATACTTACCATCATATCAAGTTCGTCAAAAGCCTATACAACCATTTAAAGAACACTATTATAAACAACAATCAGATTTTCAAACAGAAACAGCTGTTAGTATCAGTGCACCTTGTTCACCGTATAGACCGAGTACTGATATTCCATCCCGCCATGTGATCAGAGATCCGCATATAATTGCAAAAAGTTTTGACTCAGCATATACTACTACTACACGCCGTAGACCACATCAGCTGTCATATTCGCCAACAACACATTTAGGTGAGCCTAGTGATCGAGGTATACCAGTTGGTTATTATGAACCAGCACAAGATCCTGCCAATGAATGGCCGGGAATAACAAAAAGTGATCACGCCTATCTAAGATATGCATCCGATAAAGATGGTATATCGCAGACGAAAATGATTTCAGGCATAACAAAGCATTCAATGCATCGACCACCAGTATATAGAAGAATTCAACAACAATATTTACCAAGTCATCTACAAGACAGAAAACAGAAATCCTTGTATAAAAGATCTTTGACATTAGGTGATAATGTTGAACACATGCATACTGATTGGATGGAAATGAAACCAAAGATGTATTCATCAACGCATATGTATACTGTCCCACCACCAACTAATGAAAAAGAAGCATATTATAATGGATTATTAATGCAACAGAAATATAAAGATGCTTATATTGATGCAAAATTTAAACGATTCAGTCAAAAGTATCCACTTGATGTAGATGATACCTGTGAAGAAAGTGAATTACAAAGTTTACTACAACAAGAACCACAAGATTTACATCAGTTTCAATCAGCAATGCATTCTTCAAATCGTAGAAGATGGACATCAGCTGAAATTCCGGAAGTTAAAATTACACCTGTTTTTGTTGGTTTATCTGGTATACAATATGAAGAAGAAAGTAAGTCAGTGTGTACAGATATACACAGTGTGTGTTCTTATTTAATCGATAAAAGAAGATGGATTAGGATTATAGTTATTGCCACCATGTAAGTGAGTCATCATTCATCTCGTCTAACTTCCACGCAGGTTTCGATATAGAATGTCTTCCATTTAATGTCATTGGCCGATACATTATCTGTTGTAACACTCAACTTGTAATATTCCACTTATTATTATCATTACCTCTCTGAGCAGTTGTCTTTTATTGATGTTAAATTTGTAGCGATTTGATTGATTTTTAAGTAGATTTTGGTGTGAGATACCCATGATTGCCATAATGCATCAGGAATTGACAGAACCTATTATTATTATTATTAGTTATTGCTTCGTATCAAACTCTACTGATCTCAAAACTTCAAGGTTCAGGTTTCGATCTCATAAATTATTATTATTTCTCTGCAATTCTGAGGGAGGGGGATTTAAGGTACGGCATAATAACTGTTGAATTCTCCTTGGTTTCTTTCTTCCTTTAACTCCTTTAAATCAAAGTGGAACATGGCGTCTCGATGCTTCTTTTCTTGATGAGCTGGGCTTGCTAGCCTCACTCTCAAGCTTCCCTCTTTCACAAACATACTAGTAACTTTATTCAGCTTGTCGATGTTTTAAGAGTGCACCAGCGGAGAATCGAACACTAGACCAAGTGCATGAATTTATAACGCCCTATTATCTCACAGGTGTCGTCTCTGATTGCAGTACTGTTGTAAAGAGAGCTCGAGTCTCGGCGTAGAGACTTTTCCATTTGAAGGATTTCCCTAAAGTCGGTGTTTGTGTTTGATGAAATATATACAGCGAATTCTTTGAGACTTATTGACCCCATTAGGTCTTTCCCTCACTTCATACTCTTTGTTACATGTTAGACAAAAAAGCTTGACTTTTCACTGTTTCTGTAATATGCTTTTCATATTACCAAACATATACTACGTTTTGATGGTTCGATACTACTCAATTCTCCTTCGCCCTCTCTACCCCAAAAAAATATTTAAAAAATAATTTATTTTATCTATTTATTTATTTTAAATACACTTGAACATAATTTGTATTTAGTCGTATTTCACATATATTTATTTTAGCTTTAGTTTTTTTTCCATTACCAACCTTTATTTATTTACACTAGATATTGGACATTGAAAATTTTGAACAAAGAATTTGAAAAAAAAGGCGGATGATGGTTATATTGATCGTATTAGTTGAGCGAGCATTGTTTTCCTTCCTTCCTTCCTTTAGTAAACCAAAAGGAATGACTATAAAAATTAATAACTTCTCAGGATAATATCATTCAATTATATAGTATTCAGCAAAAAAAGAAGAGAAAAATTGCCGCTTAGATGAATAATCTTGATAATACTTACAGCCTTCCAGCTGGATGGCTTTTGTTTTCTGTGATGTTATCAATTTGTCATCTGTGACATCAATTTCGGAAACAAAAAATGAAGTGTCTTTAGCTTCTTTATTTTGTCATATTTGGTTCAGTTCCTTGCTCCAGTTCCTTACAATATGTCATTTTAGACGACACACGAACTTTAATTAGAGTACTGTTGGAAACTATGGCGTACTGAACAACTGTTTCGACAACAGTGGTGTTCCTTGATCGATGTCAGCTTGTGATCAGATCTGAAATCAGTCGCATCTCTGAAAACCAACACTAGTGACTTTGATTACAAGATGAAGTTGTCTTCAGTTCCAGTGAGGAGTCGTGAGGAGTAAGGTCTACCAAGTTTCTGATAGCGTTAGCTGTCAGTGTTCTAATATACTGCAGGTTGGCAGGAGTTAGAATTCATGAATCACTGAATTCTGTTCTAGTAGCTGAATAGCAGTTGAAGCCCTATGTTCCACTAGGAACCTAAGGGAGCAATAATAATAATAGGCTGAATAGCCAGCTGGGTTGCCGTCTAAACAAATGCCTATGAGATCGATCCCATATAGGACTATGAATAAGTTCCACTGAAGGGTCTCAAATTTATTTTAAACAGATATCCAGCATCCCCTGGTTTTCAGTGGTTTTCTAACTGAAGGGTCATTTTCCTGATCTAAATTGAAATCAATCACACCCCTACTAAACGACACATGGGAATATCTACAATGTCATTACTTATTTTAGAAGTATGTCAGTGTCATTGCTACACACGCCTTTTGGTAAACCTAATTTTTCTAACTTGTACAGTTATCTAGTCGCATTTCTCCCCGACTAGGTGATAAAAGCAAGTTTATGTCAATACATAAACTGACCTGTAATACTCCTATCGAAAACTATATCTCAGGTTTTCACTATTCACTATTAAGGTAATAGTAATCGTAATCGTGTGTATAGTTGGTCCCACCATGCTGGAGGTCTGGGTTAAATTCCCTGCCTTTGCACTGCTAAACGTCACCTCACCAAGTCAGGTAAACGAAGAATTACTCGCCTATGATATTGATTTGTGATCGGAATAAAATTATGAATTGGTAGAAGTTGGATTTCGTGGGAAATTGGATTGAGTCTTAGTGACTGAATAGTCTACGACCTTGTCTTGTAACAGGGAGGTCCTGGGTTCGAACCGTGTTCGGTGAGTGCTGATGAAGAGCGTCAGACTAAGACGAAGCAGCTATTCGTTACTTCCTGGTTTTCTAATGGTTCTCGAAGTGATATCAGCTTGAGATCAAATGTGAAAACTCGCCAAGTTTACTGGCCGGTGGTAATTGGAGAAAGAAGAAAGGCTGAACGTGAGGCTAGCGGCCGCACCCCGTAGAAACAACGCTAGCTCTAATGAAACGTCAAGGCTTTGAGCTCGATGTCTCCCCGGAAGGCAAGGAATGAAAAAAATTGTGACTGTATGTTCTACTTCTTTTAGTGTTTTTGCTGACAGTGTATTGTTTAGAATGACAATTAATGCTTCATGATACTACCGTTCGCTTCAATGAACATAATATTACCTAAATGTGTTGAGCACTTTATGTACATACATACATTATAGACCTAAGGAATCGCTGATTTGTCTTCCTAAATAGTAGTTTCGTTAAGCAAACAGTACTTGCTTCATAAAAGCAGATTTCACCCACCATTCGCTCACATAAAATAAAAAATATTAGTAAAGACATGCACTACCTGACTTGACTGGTAATTTTGTTCCCAACTACGACCAAACCAAGGAGCGATTTCCAGGAGTGTGACTGATTTAAAGTTAGGTCACGAGCTGAATTCGATTGAAAACAGTTGAAAGCTAGGGAGTGCCGGACAGCTATTTTTGTCATTGTTTGAGACAGTTCAGCAGTAGGGACTGAAGGTTAATCATATTATTGTTTGATGTAATAATCTAGCTAAGTACGAATGCATTGTTTTCTAGTGACTGGATAAATGATACTTCTGTAGTAAGATTCGTTGATTACAACAAAGGACTTCATCATAGACCATCTCCTTTTGAACTGACTGATTATTTTAAAGTTCTCATTACGACATGATAAATGTGTTACACACAAAGTCGCAAAACTTGAGAATGTGTTTTAGTCTGTATTCTAAATATATCTAGTTGTAGTGACAGGAAGCCCACAGTCACAGTTGGTTCTTGTACTGTGTCCAAATCTCTGTCTCAGTTGTGGTACTATACCACATTACCGCATTACAGCATGTTACCATTTCTGATAATATTCGGTCTTTCTATCCGTCTGCTGTATCCTGTCTTGCATTCTCTTAAAAACACAATTGTCCCAACTTTGAAAAGTTTTGGGTTGATTGAAGACTAAGTTGCATATAGCTTAGATATAAAAGCATCATTTACTCTTCTCAGCTTCCTTCTCACCAATGCTTTAGCAAGAATTAGATTACTTGGAATCTTTTTTGTTGAGATGGTCGTATAAGTATTAGTCAAAATGTTCTAGATAATACTTGTGGTTGTTCTTGCCTCCCATGCTTCGAACACAGGCATTTTGTGAGTATTTACAAATCTCGCTGCCTTGCCATAGGATTGTGCATGATAATGTTAGAAAAATATGTACTCTACGATATTTTGCAAGCAAAATGTTTCGAGTTGTGTAAATGTGAACTGAAGATCGTTTTTGAGGACGGCAATTTGCAGAAAAAGGTGATGGCAGAAAAGTCTTTGCGAAAACTTGCTGTTTTGGTGTCACCAATTTTTTATTAAGATTGAAATAAGGCCTGGGCATGAAATATCGCTGGGTACTGTATCATCATATACAACAACCACCTGATTCCCTCTTCTGTTCTAATTAAGCGAGAACACGTGATTTGAGATGGAAAGTATATTTCGGTATTTCTTTTATTCCTTTGAGTTATCAGAGGAACATAGAGCTTCAACCTATAGTTTTTGAGTTTCGTTAGCACTGGATTTATTTATTTTTACGGGGTGAGTTTGCCAGTCTCACGCCCAGCCATCTCTTTTTCCGGGCTTATTACTAGATAAGCGATGTAATTCAGTGCGTCAGCTGGGGATAGAACCCTGAACCACGAAAGTGGCTGACGAACTTTCTAAGTCTGCCCCACCACCATATTTCAGTAACAGTCACAGTATATACACGAAAGGAAACGATATATATAAGATGTATTACCATTTGTGGTTTATTTCCAGACCGACCTTGATCACTATATCGCTCCCAAGGTCACTATTGCCAGCGGATTAACAAGAGTCGGTTTCAGTTACTTTGAGTGCCCATCGACTGAATTTAGGTAGTGGTTCCCACCCATTATTCCAGAAAAATCGACGAAAACATGTGACCATCAGTGTTCGGACTGAGGTCAGAAGACTCATAATAAGCGTGTGCTTCTGTATAGCCTGGTTTACTTCTAAAGAATGATTTTCAGTTTACTTTGAAAGTTGCCTTCATCTCTAGTCTGTTCTCTTTGTAAAGTATTTACATTAATATTCTATTAAGAACAGCTTAATTAGTCTCTCGTTGTTGGTTTTTCAGATACTCAAATGAAAACGTGCTCTTCTATTAATCTGAAAGTCCTGAGTCATGCTATTTGAA